TAATATTAATTAGGACTGGTTTGGGCTAAAAATATCCAAGAGTAAGAGAGCTTCTTTTTAAATCTATTGATTCTTTGGATTTTTGCAGATTGTATCTGGTAACTCAATTAATTGTGCTATTTCCCTACATCTGTGCAAACTTGGATGTTAATTTTTATTAAATACATTTAACTTGAGATTTTAGAAGGATATCAATCATTTCAGAGTGTACATGATATTAAAGAGAGCCTTTTTTCAGCTAATTTTTTGTTGATTTATGGCCTGATATAAAAATATATAATTCATATTTCAATCTGCTATAATTGGTTGAATTATAGATCCAATAGATATATTTCAATAAACTCACCAATACAGCTGGAATCTGTGTAATTTTGCTGATCAACTCCAGTTCCATTTACAAACACAAGTGGAGATGATTTCATGATATGAAGAATAAAGTCAAGCAACATTACAGAACTTGGCTGAGATTCAGTCTTCTTCATAAGTTCCAGAGCCACTAAAAAGATAGCATAATCTAAACAGGAGTTCAAACCCTATTTCCTATTTCAAGAAAAACACAGCATTTCTTGGATCTCTATAACAAGTATGACTTCTTTTAGGAAGTTTGGTTTTCAATTTTACAAATTGAAAATGGATTCCTTGAAGTTAAATGTTTTGCTTCTCATGTATGGTCTACAGCTTCCTTTCCTAATTCTTCTTAAAAGAAGACATACAGGAAAATAAAATACAGGTAGTCCTTGACTTACAATCACAATTGAGACCAGAAATTTTGGTCACTGCACGAAGTGGTTATTAAGCGAGATATCATGTGACTGTTTCAGTCAATAACTGACACCTGAAGTTGTGGTTGTTAAGCAATCCCCTAGGTTGCTAAGTGGATAGAGCAAAAGAACTGCTTGCTGGAAGCCCCACACACAGCTGAATCCCTCTGGGATTGAATTCCTCTGGCAGGAAGCCATTTTGCTCTAGAGTGGGCTCTTGTCTCTGGGAGCTGGCTGCAAATGCCCCATGCTGCAAACAGTCCATGTCAAAATCCTGTGTGAATTTCAGGACAGACTTTTTTCAGCCAGCCCCCAAACTAGAGAGAGTCCTCTTGATAGGCAGCTTGCAACCTTCTTTGCTAACTTTCTCAATGACTTTCTAGGAAAGCTGGCAGGGAAGATTGCAAATGGAGATCACATGATCACAGGGTGCTTGGTAACCAATCATGTGGAAATAAGTTGTGAAGTGCCCAGATCACAATCATGTGACTATGGGGGAACTGCAATGGTTGTAATGGGTCATGAATCCCTTCGTTCAGTGCCAATGTAATTTCAAACAGTCACTGAAAGAATGATCACTAAGCAAGGACTACCTGTAGGGAGGGCTTCTTTCAAACTACAATGTCCCAACAAAGCATAACTAGACTAACGAAAAATGATTTATATTTTAATCAATCCTCATCTAAGAATTATTTCCACCAACGTGACAGTTAATATTTCATTTAGCAACAAAGAATATTTGTACCTACTCCTTTCCCTCTATGGTATTATTATTCAATTGTAAGACTGTTTAATGTTAGGGATTTTGTCCAGGACCATGATTTAGGGTTGGAATAACATGTAATAGAAATTACATATAGTTTGAGTTTAAATCTAGGCCATTTACTAACTTTACTTACCAACATCCACATCTACAAGAATTCGATCAATGAACTGGCAGAGTATTTGTCTTGGCTTCTGTACCACGGTATTATATTCTTCTGGTGTAGCACTGAAATAAAAGATATATTTAAAAGTTATTTTATCAAGAGAGCTACCTTTGATACTGAAATACATAAAATCAAATCCAGTATTTATTATGGTCACAGACCAGAATAGTGATATATATAATTAATACACACACATACACACAACCATGTACTGTAAAGTTGTTTGCACATCTGGTAAACAAATAAAAGTACAACATGAACTATTTAATCACATAGCAGTTATTAAAATGCTGAATTTCAAGTACCGGTACTTTATAATTTTGCTTAAAGTCTCTTAGGGAAAGAAGCTCTATTTTTAGAAAATGAATTTTCTAAATTTGTTCAGGGTATCAATTTGCTCAGGGTATCAAAATCTTAAGTAGCCTGTGAAACATATCAAAAGAATGTTATTCAATCAGAGATGGAACCAATCTACCAATGTAAAGTATCCTTCCATTATCAGTGATTTTATGAATAAGAACTTACATACAATTAGAATTGTTAATGTGTTAAGATTGTGCATTTCAATTTTTTCTGGTCTCTGTGTGTATGTGCTCTCCAACTGAGAACACTTTATTCACACGTTTTAATGGCCTCTAAACTGTAAAGTTTATACTAAAATGTTTTAAGTATAAGATGCTCTAGCCATATATTTATCCCTCATATAACACACTTTCCTAGGCTGGTGACCCTCAAAAATCCATCCCCAACTGAATACCAGAATAAGAGTTGGAAGGGACCTTGGAGATGTTCTAGTCCAACCTGCTGCTCAAGCAGGAAATCCTATACCATTTCAAAGAAATGGTTGTCCAATCTCTTCTTAAAAACCTCCAGTGTTAGAACACTGGGGACAAGTTGTTCCATTGATTACTTGTTAACTGTCAGAAAATTTGTCCTTAGTTCCAGATTGCTTCTTTCTTTGATTAGTTTATATCCATTGCTTTTTGCTCTGCCTTCTGTGGCAGCCTTTTTTTTGTGGCAGCCCCTTAGATATTGGAACACTATCATGTCACCCCCAATCCTTCTTTTCATTAGATATACCCAATTCCCACAACCGGTTTTTGTATGTTTTAGCCTCCAGTCTCCTAATCATCAACAGGGCCTAGATTCCCTAGAATGTATCAGGGACCTCCAATGTACTAAATCCCAGCAAATTGGATAGTGCCATATTTATCATTTTTTTGTTCATTAAGGGAAATGAAATAAGTGAGAGAAGAGTGAACATAAGCTGTAAAGTATACTTATTGTGTAATAAAAGCAAAGGTATAGTAATTAATAAATTCAATTCCAATTAATTAAAATAGCAGAATAAAATGTGCTAATTTTGAAGTTTTTCTAAAGGTTAAGAAATAACAAGAGCAAACTTTTTTGGATCTATAATTCTGTTCAAGAGCTACCTTCCCCTCCCTACTTTTACCAGACGTGTCTCTGAATTACCGTTCCACACGACCCGGGAAAGACAATGGTGAAACGGAGCATCTCAAGCTCCTGGGAGGAAAACTTGATTACGTGCAGTAAATACAGCGATTCAGAAAGAAGCCAGAAGAAGGCAAGCAGCAAAAGGGTGAAGCACTTTGGTTTCAGACTCACATACCTCCCCAATTCCCGGAGGGCTGGAATCACGGAAGCCATTTCGAGCCCCTGGTCAGCCATCCTTGATTCTCCCGACTCTCCCGCCAGCTCCGTTTCGACCTTTCGCTGTCTCCACCCCTTTTCCTAGCCGGCAGGAAATTTACGGACGGTGGCTCGTTTGAGCCAAATTTCCTATCAATAACCCGCTGTAATACACAGCGCTTGACTTTTGAAACTTGAGTTCTATTTGGGCTGAACTCGGCGGAGTTTATTTCCTAATTCTTATATGTTGTATATTTTGTAAGTTTGCACGAGTGATGCAGTAGCTTTTTTTCAAATTATTCCCAGTTGTCTCTATACAATTGTCATATGTGTCCATGCAGAAATACGTCACTGTAAACGACTTCCGACACTTCAAACTTGTGCTGTTTCCTAGCAGCCTGGTCATATACATAAAATGATTGCATGCAATTCTACTAACAAAATTCAGTATGAACACTAAACAACGTTTGGACAGACAGGATCCTCTTTAACAATATCAGAACTGAAAAGACAAGTATGCTCAAGTGCTAAAAATACTGGTAAGGAGCTATGACTGGATTAGTGGTTGACTGGATTATGCTTCTTGACTGCAGTTCCCCCATGAAGCATGTTTAGATAGCAGGGATGAATACAGGGAGTCCTCAAATTAGGACTACAACTGAGCCCAAAATTTATGTTGTTAAGTGAGTTGTGCCCCATTTTACAACTTTTCTCACCGCATTTGTTAAGTGAATCACTGCAGTTCTTAAATTAGTAACAAGGTTAAGTAAATCTGGTTTCCCCATTGATTTTACTTGTCAGAAGGTCGCAAAAGAAGATCATATGACTCTCCATGACACTGCAAATGGTATGTGATTCAGTTGTGAAGCATAATGTAAATTACGTGACCCTTAGGGATGCTGCAACAGTCATAAGTGAAAAATGGTCATAAGTCACTGTTTTCAGTGTTGTTGTAACTTTGAATGGTCACCAAATGAACTCTTGTAAGTCGAGTACTGCTTGTAAATAACTTCAGTGTCAGGTTATTCCTTCTTCTGCAGTGGATAGTGTTTTATACAGGACCAAGAGCAAACGCTTACCATCATCGTAAGGGGCCCCCATGGTTGAACATCTCACAGTCATTATTAGTTGAGTGCAACATAAATTTAATAAATTATTATTACTGTTATTATCTCCAGAACTCATCATAAGAAATGAATTTGTACAAGGAATTATTGTAGTCAGCTCAGCTCCCATTCTAACTACATTCCCTTAAGATCTATTCAATTAGGTTGAAGGATCAGTTTCCAAATCCCCAGCCACGATAGCCTCTGTCTATGATTGGTGGAGATTGTAGGAACTGTAATACCTTGGAGTCATCGAATTGGGGGAAGTTGTTCTAAGATAGGGAGTCTCAATCTCTGTAAAACTTTTAAAATCACATTACTTTTTGCGCAATAAATCAACCAGGTAAAAACCACTCGTCAGAAACTCATCAGACCCGTCACCAGCTCAGAACAAACATGCAATTTAATTAGTTTCGTTTTCATGGGAATAATTGCGGCTGAAATTTGATCCCAGCAGCTCCCCCCCCCCCCCGAGTCCTTTGTAACGGCGATGTTTGTGCTATAAACCCGCCTCCTACTGCCGGGAAGACGAAGGGACTGAGTTCTATAGCTGTCAGTCAATAGCGGTATGAGGGAGGGAGCGGCGGCTGGCTGCAGGTGTTCTCCAGTATAGTACTTTGGAAAGCTTAGTCCAGAAAGTGGAGCTACGACGAAATCCAGCTACGAAGTGGCTGCAGCAACCAGGTGAGTCCGGATCCTTCGTGTATGACAAGTACCTTTCTTTCAGGGGCAGTAGGGCGGTTAGCACCGATTTTTTATTTCATTTTATTTATAAGAGAGGCTGTTCTTCAAATGGACGGTTTGCTTTTAGACAGATTTAATCGCTTTGTAGGCTTTGTCATGCTACTTGCATGAGTTTTACTTTAGAATTCTTAACTGTCACACCCAAGGCTTCTGTGTAAATAGACCCTTTAAGATAAGTGAACCTTTGATTAAATACAAAACAAGCTTGCCATTCATAACTATTTCCTCCAGCACAAGGTGTGTTTCCAAGAATCTCAATCTCACAAAAGAGCAATTTACAGTGTCGTTATTCTTAATCTTATGAGGGTGCAAAGTGCAATTGTATAAGCTTTAGGCAGGATAATTAAAAAAGAATGAAATATGTTTTTTTCCTTTTCAAGGGTAGGGCACGAGGATGCATTTGAGTATGAAAGCAAATTATATTTCTGACAGTAAACATATATCTTATGAAGGAAACTGTTCAGGATTGAAATAAAGGCAGTATTTTAGCACTTCCTTTGAAATAAGATGGATGAACAAGCAATTCTAAATAAGCATAATTCAGAAATATACAAGTCCTGTAAATTGAGGACTTATTTTTGATAATAGTCTTTAGAATTGCTGCTGAAAATGGCAATCGTCTCTTCATTCATAGTAAACTATAAAATATACATAAATCAGTAAATTTCAATTTATTCTTTCTTGCCTTACTTTAAAGATTAGAGATGTATCATTGGTATATGAAAAATTTGGAACAACCCTAGACTATGAAACATGACATTAGTTTTACTTTTTATGTATAACTTTAGGATCTTTCTTGCTCATTACAATAGATAGGGATGGAGGAGAATAAAAAATTCATGTAGTAATCTAATCCTAGTACAGCCCAGGAACTAAAAAGCCCCATTGTTTTCTAAAGAGATTAAATATGTATCTATTTCTAGAATTTGCCAAGATGTTGCAAATATTTTTGATATAACATTGTGACTCCAAATGCTGTTGAATCTCAAAACAATTTATTCTAGGATAGCATTGAATTTATGTATTGAAGCTGGAATTTGAACATGTATCCTCCCATAGGAATGTAGAAAAGGATCCTATTTTATATTAAAAACACAGTTAATAATTTTCTGCCTCTCCAAAATTCTTTATTACTTTTTTCTCTCTCATTCTAAGAATTCAAAACTTCTTTTAGAGCAAATTTGTTCTTCCTTCTGATCAGAGATTTTCATTATGAATTGTTTTTCTTTTTCTTTGCATTGTCTTGCAATTTTTATGTACATATTATAGGTAGGTAGGTAGATAGGTAGATAAGAGATGGGGGAATATCTTATCAAAATGTCTCCATTCAATATGACATTCCACACTATAAACAGCAGGGCTACATGATCATTTCAATAAAAAACATTATTATATAGTTGTGTTTATATATATATATATAAAATAAGACAATAATAGTGCCTCCCTTTTAGATGCCTGTAACTTTTAATTTATATTTTTAAGAGAAAAATATCCCCATCCATCTTTATATCTTTCTTTTTCATCTTTCTTTAAAATTTTATATTGTGAGATGATATCACTGTAAGAATTAATAGGCTTAGGACATAATCTCTCAGTAAGCCTCAATTACATTAAAGGCAAAATATAATAATACTTGTTGAAATGTGAGCTTTACAAATTAAAATAAATACTAATAAATAAATAAATAAATACTGTTAAAATGCAATGGCAAAATGCAGGAACTTAAAACAATGTAAACACATACTGATTAAAAAGGAGGAAAGAAATGGAATATAGAAACTTTCATCCATAATATTCACCCAAGAAAGTCTTGAATGAAGAATTAGTTCAATAGATATTTAAAAACATAGTGGGAAAAGAATCAATATTCAAGAGTGAGAGCATCCTAGAGAATAGGATGTAGGGTGAGGTATCATATGAAGGGACATTTTATCAAGTTTAGTGGGCATCTAAAAAGCTTAAAAAATGAATACAAATGCAGAAGTTTGTAAGGTTAATGTACAATTAAAATCAGAGCTCACTTTTGGGAGTAATGGACAAGAAACTTTGTTTTTATATATGATAATCACAGCAGAACAATTATATTGACTAAAGCAGAAAGGCTCAACCATTAGCCATCTTTGCAAGTTTCATCTCTTTACCAGTTATAATTTCTTTGATTAGAGAAAAAAATTACGTTCAGGTTTAACTGGAAATCCCTAATAAACTTTTTGCATTGAGCAGAAAAAATACACTTATGATTGTGGGTTTGATTAGGAAAAAATTGTTTAATAGGAAAAAACTGACTTCTTTTTAATCATAAAGTAAGTGTTAATACTGTAAATATACATATTTTGCTGCAAAAGAAATCAGAAGCTTTTTTCTATTTCATTTTCTCTTTTTACAGTTTCTTTTCTTTTGTTTCTTTTGCTTTTTATTAGTTTGTATTAGTTACGTTTTTTGAAAAACTTTTAATAAAATCTATATTTAAAAGTGAGGATAGATTTATATAACTTAAAACCTACATGGCCATGCATCAGAACCCTTCTGATGACCTTAGTGATTATAGAAGGCAGAGGACCCCAACCTTTTGGGCACCAGGGACTGGTTCCGTGGAGAGAGGTTTTTCCGTGGACCAGAGGGTGTGTGATTTTGTGTGCTGCCTGCATCTCGCAGATGGGGCTTTGCTTGTTTGTGCAGACCGGTTGCTGGTATGCCACAGACCAGTATTGGTCCACGGACTGGGGGGTTGGGAACCCTTGATATAAGGGACAGGAAATCTATTCAGTACAGCCAAGTTGTATAGGTTCAGTATGTAAGAAGCAAATCTTGAGTCTCAGCCTTTTTCCTAATAATGTTACAGAACAGTCAGATGTTTTAGGCAAGAAATTTAGGAAGAGTAAGGCCAAGCATGAGAGGGCTTGTGAACTTATGTTCAATAATGCAGTGTAATTAATTCAGCAATATGGACCAGAAGCAAGCAGGAAAAAGTCAGTAAAAAGTGAAAGTATCGTAAATGTGTCTTTGCAAGGGTATCTCTGCCATGGGGGTACTGTAATATGCTAAATAACCAGTGTTATCACTTGCATTTGTATCCATATATGGTAATGAAAGTGGCCTCCTAAATAATATGTTATGTCACTCACCTTTGACCACATTGCTTTCTCTTATCTGCTTAGAACAAACTTTAATCCTGTTTCCTTTGGACCTTGCAAAAATGAAATAAAATTAGTAGTCTGATAATTTCTTTGTTTTGGAATGATTTGGATCTTTAGGGACATATCTGGCACCGAGATTGCTATTTTTACCAACAATTTTCAGATACTAAATATATTTCATAGTTCTCAAATGAAAAATATGCAATAATTTGCACACCCAGCGTAAATATGCATCAATCCACTTCTGTATGAAAACTGCACTTGGAGTTTTCTCATTGAGAATGTAGAATGAGACATGGTAGAGAGAAGAAGAAAGCTGAGCAAAGCATTGCCTGATTTTTGGATTATGTCTCTCTGTTCCTCTTTTGTCACTTTCTTTAGGAGAGTTCAATTAACTTTCTGGAAAGACTTTGCAAGGGCTGAAAAGAGTGAAAGAATCAAGAAATATTTGTAAGTTAATTTATTATTGTAAAACCCAAACTAACATCTTCTCTCTCAAGGAAGGAATCTTCTCTGAAATGAGCTTTGAATGTTTTCACATAAACTCCTAAGAATAAAAGAGTTGGAAGGTGTTATTTTAGGCATTATTCAATGCAGAAATTGAAATTCAAGCATTCATGAATAGTGACTATCTGCTTAGGCACATCCTGTGATAAAGAGCCCATCATCCCTCAAATAATTGGCTCCATGTCAAACTGCTTTTATAACAGTTTTGGAGGTGGTGACCCTTTGAGAGCTGTATGCAATGAAATATCATTTTAATGTATGCCAATTAGTGTACGTTCAAAGTGACAATAAAGTTTCTATTCTGTTCTGTTCTGTTCTATTCTATTCTACTCTATTCTACTACTCCTACTCCTATTCCTGTTCTAATTTTACAAGTTATAAAAAATATCAATTGAAATGAGAAAAAAAAATGCCTTGACTTTATTCTATTTGACATCCTTTAAGATATTTGAAGAATGCTATCATATTCCAGCCAAGTCATCTTTTTAAAAGGCTAAATATACACCCTTCCAATATCTCTTCATAGGATGTTCATCTGTTCCCTGATCATCCTCATTACCCTCCTCTGAAACTGTTTCAATTTCTGTAAAGTCATGCCCAAAACTATATATTGTACAAAAAATAAGGGCTACATAAATCATGATGAAAGCAGAATAAATTGAAACAATTACATTCTGTGATGTGGGAATTATATTTGTTTAACGTTTCTTAATCAGTATTGCCTTTTTTTCTCTCAGAACATTACATTGCTGATTTCATGTTCTATTTGCATACAGCTACTGTTCCAGTCTTTTTTTTTTACACCATTATCAAGCCAGGAACACACGTAAATACATGCTCCATTTTATATTGTTTCTTTGATTTTTGTTTCCTAAGTGAGGAATATTCACTTGTTTTTCTTAAATTTCATTCTAATACTTTCAACTTATTTCTTTAATTTATCAAAATAATTTTAAATTTCTGGTATTAAGTTTTCTATTTTTTTCAACCATACATTTGATAAGACTTCTTTCCATCCATTCATCCAAGTCATTAATGAAAATATTATACAGTAGAGGACTTAGGGCTGCTCCTCATAGCACTCCACTTTGTCTCTATCTCCAGATTGGTAAGGAATTATTGATGAGCTGCAATGATTTTTAATCATCTATATATCTATTTAATTGTTATGTATCCAGCCTATATTTAGTTAGCTAGCTTTAAAAAAATCAAATGTTTTACTAAAGTCAAGAGATGTCTGTAGCATTCCCACAAATTATTAAGAAGTAACTTAAACAAAAACATGAGAAGAACAAACCTTGCTAGAATAATAACAAATCCATGCTGACTTCTGATCATTTATCATATTGTTGTCAAAGTTTTTCAAAACTGAACATTTTATGATTTGCTCCAGAATCTTTTCATGCTTGTTGATTAGTATGTAGTTTGCTACACATTCCTTTACCCACATTTTGAAGATGAAGATAATAGTACAGTAATCTTTCTGTGATAACCATTCTGTCAGTTCTCCAAAATTTCTCAAAAATATTACATAAGAGTTTAGCTAGAATATAAGCAAGTATCTTTATTATCCTAGGAGTGTATAATAAAGGAGTGGATAATAAAACCTCTGATTTTGGAAATTTAAATTCAGAGAAATGACATATTCTACATTTCTATCCATCTCAAATTTCAGTCCTTCTTCTCAATTCTATGGGGGGTTTTATCATAAAAACAGTTTATTTTTTAAAATTTCTGAATTGTATAGTTATTTGTTACATTGTTCAAGTAATAACTTACCTGAATAGTTTTGATCCATAAAAGCCTTTACCCTAGGGCAGTCCTTTACAATGAAAGGACTATTTACATGAAAATTATTTTCTATGCTCTTTGCTTATTTTATAGCTGTTATGTCATTTTACTCTTAAACATAATCTTCAACTTCATTTAATTTATTATTTAATATTAATTTAATTATAATCTAAATATTATTTGGAATGTAAACTTATGATTTTGCTTTAGGCTGTCCTAGTTGCTATATATATTAAAATGTTTTCAAAGTATGTATTGTATTATAAAAATTATTGAAAATAATGAAATTGTAATGTCCTGCAATAAATAAATAAATCTGACTCATCTGAATGATTTAATTTTCAGAAAGATTGAGCATTCAGGTACATATAATTCAGAGTCCTGGCTTGTTTCTAATTTTAATCTTGGCCATTTCTATTAATTTCAAGTTCAATTTTATGTCACATAATTCTACAGTTATTCTTTTTCCCAGAAAATCCTAAATTTCTTAGAGAAAAGGACTATAGATTCTTTTAAAAAACTATCAGCACAGTTTCATACATACTTATTCATAAATAAGTCCTATTTAATTCAAAGGAAATTACTTCTTGGATGTATAGTATATATTGAAATGCAGCATCATAAGAACATCTGCCTCTTGGGAACATATACTCTATTGCTGATTTCATATGTTATGCTATATTTAATGGCATAGCATGTGATCCCTGTCCAATTAACATGATATGAATCAGGTCAATATACCCCTGAAAAAAGTAGGCCAGCTGCAGAGAAAGGATCACTCAGGAGTTCCTATTGCAGACATGTCAAACTTGCGACGTTGCGTGACGTTGCGTGACGTATCAGGACTGTTTTACCATTGCCAGCAATGGGGTGGGCGCGGCTTCTGCATGACGCGTCTGGCCCGCGAGCTGGCAGTTTGACACCCCTGTCCTATTGCATCTCTCACCTATCCCCTCATGTATCCCAACAGCTACCTTTTTGGTCCCAATAGAGCAGTGGTTCTCAGCCTGTGGGTCAGGACCCCATTTGGGGTCGAACAACCATTTCACGGGGGTCGCCAAACAAGGCTGTCCGCCATTTTTTCTCCCTTTTCTTTGGCCACGCCCCTGGCACCCAGTGATGTATAAGTGGTTGGGGGTCACCACAACATGGGGAACTGTATTATGGGGTCACGGCATTAGAAAGGTTGAGAACCACTGCAATAGAGCAATCACTCTTAAAATCATGTGCCATTGGAATGATATCTTAATCTACTATGGCTCAGACCACTTAACTTGTCACATATAAATCTCCTCAGTGTAAACATTTTCTGTCTGATTGAGTGCTGGATATGACAATGCATAGTCTTAAAATTTAAAATAGCTAAAATAACAAGATGCTTTTTTATTAGCCAGAATGCTACAGTAATTTCTGTTCTGAACAAAGAAGTTTGAGAAGTGGAGTTCATCTTTGCTTATAATATAGCACAAATGAAAACTGTGTAAAGTGGATGAGGGATGGGGATAGAACATTTGGGAAGTTTTTAGATCATTAACATTGGTATAATTACAGGAACTTGCTGACTAATTAAATCCTTTAAAATGTTTCAGTCCAAAATCTGGCACACTGCCATTCAGTTAATATTCTTAGACTCAGTGTGTAATTTATATGCATAAGACAACCTCTTTCTGGATTTCTTTTACACACTCTTCCCTGTCATTAGTAATTCTTTCTCTTTATCCTAAGTGACTTTACCAGAGTTCCTAGCATTTTCAGATTTTGCTGCCAAATGCATTCTTCATCAGAATCATGTGATTTAGAAGTGTAAGCCTGTAATTTTCCTAATAGCTTTCATTTACAAGCATGCTGGTAGCTTCAGGGTGTGTTGGGTCACAGATGTTCTTTTCTCCTCCCCCTGTGTATCTATTATTTTTTCTTCCCCACCATGATCTTTCTATGCATTTGCTGTGGCAGATTTTGATCACAGCCAGTCAATGCTTCTACTGTCTTTTTCTCCCAAAGTAGGTCAAGAGAGAAAAAGAAACATGAGGGCCCACATTCCCAAGAGTGCTGGGTATACAGTTTCTGCTGTTCTCTTTGTCTCTTTTAAGCTAGCGGGGGAATGGCACATCCTTTTGGGAAGAGAACAGCTCTCACTTTACAACAAAATGTGTAACATTTAGTGATAGCAAAACTCTGAATGTGACTTTCTTCAAAAATGTTTTAGCTGTAAATGGTTAGGAATGGGTGAATGGTTGCTAGAAACTTTAGAGTTTTCCTCGGAAATGTAGAAAGAGCCTTTCTCTTAAAACCGCTTATAAAGATTTAAAAAAAAATAATAGAAGCCCCTGAATTCTTAAATTACCCCATGTTTATAATATAATGCCATTTCTTTTGCTGTGATTTACAAGTCCCATCCTTAGTGTTATCTTTGACCTTTGATGTCTGAAGAATTAGGTGGTGTGCGCATTTGTCATCTATCCAGAAGAGACTGATATGACATTGCTATGAGTAAAATGTTTATTCTGTAACATTATAAGTATTGTCATAAATTAAGTGTGCTTAAAGAATATTTGTTCATTGCCTTACTTGGTCTTGCAGTTCAACTATGTTTACTATCCCTAGAGCATGGGAAAGTCCTCTAAGATTAAAGCAGTCCAGAAATCTTATGAATAAATAAAATGCAATTAAATCTATCATGGAGAAAAAATTTCCTGGGGTTTGCATCACACATTTCTTTTGCCTTTGTGAGAAAAATTTAGTTATATGAGTGTCTCCTATTGTTCATCTTTTGGGGTGTTTGGAGAAATACCCAAAATGATATTCTTTAAACAGGAATCCTTAACTCAAAAAAAGAGAGAAACTTCTTAAAAAATAAAAAATGGGTGCCTGCCAGATAATAGCAGTATAATAACATATTCAGTAATTTGAAATAGCTAAGTCATTCCACTCTTATATTTCATAGAAACGCTGTGGCAGGATTGGAAATGTTATTGGGCTAAAGCAATTGGCTATGGAGCAATTAGTGAAAATTCTTATACAACAGTGTGAGAGATTGGTCACCAATTAGAACCGATACATAGTTGTAGCTAAAAGTTGTACAGTTCAATACTGCATTTAAAAGGGCAATTAATTTTGCACACAAGCACATTGCATATTGGTTTATTTTATGT